TTTTTTTTTTTTTTTTTTTTTTTTTTTTTTTTTTTTTTTTTTTTTTTTTTTTTTTTTTTTTGCGTTACACAAAGAAAGGAAGGAAGATAAGTTTAGATAAGGCTTGTACAAAAAGGAACATGAGAAGCCTCAAAGACACAACCTTAAAGGAACAAGGTTGATTATGTCAAAGCTTGTTGGGTACAAGGAAGGAAATATGCTCCAAGATATAAGGAAACAAAAGGACGGCCAAGAAAGACATGCAATCTCAACAAAAGATGTTATGATGACCGTGAAAAAGAACCAAGTTCCGGAATAAGTACATAACCTCAAGGCATAAGTTAAGCACAAAAGGCCACAAGGGGCCAGGATAGCAAATTAATAAGGACATGACGAAGAAGGACAAACCCATCCAAGGACCTTCGAGAAACTTAGGAGGACATAAGTAAGACTAAGTACTCCCCCAAGGCATGGTAAGAACAATGAACTTCTGTGAAGATTTTGTTAGAGCCCAAGTAAGATTAAGATACTTGGGTTAGTTTAAGATGCCCAAGAAAGGTTTAAAGGATCCAAAGAAAGGAAGTAAGATAAGTTTAGACAAGCCTTGTTTAAAAAGGAACAAGAGAAGCCTTAAAGATACAACCTTAAAGGAACAATGTTGATTATGTCAAAGCTTGTTAGGTACAAGGAAAGAAATATGCTCCAAGATATAAGGAAACAAAAGGATGACTAAGAAAGACTTGTAATCTCAACAAAGGATGTTACGGCAGACAGTTAAGAAGAACAAATGCCAGAATAAGTACATAAGCTCAAGGCATAAGTTAAGGACAAAAGGCCACAAGGGGCCACGAGGGCAAATTATAAGGACATGACGAAGAAAGGACAAACCCATCCAAGGACCCTTGAGAAACTTAGAAGGATATCAAGAAGGATATTACTAAAACTAAGTATTCCCCCGAGGCATGGGAAGAACAATGAACTTTTTGGAACATTTTGTTAGAACCCAAATAAGATTAAGATACTTGGGTAAGTTTAAGACACCCAAGAAAGGCTTAAGGGATCCAAAGAAAGGAAGGAGGATAAGTTTGGATAAGGCTTGTACAAAAATGAACGAGAGAAGCCTCAAAGATACAATCTAAAAGAATAAGGTTGATTATGTCAAAGCTAGATTAAGGTTGATTATGTCAAAGCTTGTTGGGTACAAGGAAGGAAATTTTCTCCAAGATATAAGGAAACAAAAGGATGACCAAGAAAGACAATCTCAACAAAAGATGTTACAATGACAATCAAGACGAACAAATGCCGGAATAAGTACATAACCTCAAGGCATAAGTTAAGGACAAGGGGCCACGAGGGAAAATTATAAGGACTTGACGGAGAAGGACAAACCCATCCAAGGACCCTCAAGAAGTTTAGGAGGACATAACTAAGAGTAAGTATTCATCCAAGGCATGGTAAGAACAATGAACTTTTGGAGAGATTTTGTTAGAGCCCAAGTAAGATTAAGATACTTGGGTAAGTTTAAGACGCCCAAGAAAGGTTTAAGGGATCCAAAAAAAGAAAGAAAGGAAGATAAGTTTGGATACGTGATTGTGGGTTGAAGTATGAGATTGAGCTCCCACGTTTTGAATTATTTCTTCTCATTCTTTGTAACAAAAATAATTATTGAGGTAGTATTGTCTAATAAGGTTTTATTCGGGATGAGAGAATAAAGTGTTATAAAAAATAGGGTACTTCATTGAACAGTCTATGGGTTTTCTTGAAGAACTAAATAAGATGATATCCTTACTTAAAGTAAAAAAATCCACTTGGTGTGGTAAATGAAGGACTATATGTTTGAATAGACAATTGAAAAACGAAAAATTGTTGGAATCAAGGAATAAATTTTTCATGTCATAAGTACAAAAGAATTTGAATCAAGGACAATTGAAAGGCAAAGAATAGTATTGAAAGGCAAAGAATAGTAGGAATAAAGGAATAAGGAATCACAAAAAGAGGTTTGTAAAATTTTAAAGAAAGGAAGCATTAGGATAAAAGAATTTGTTTAATTCGTGCTATAGAAAAGTTAAATTGTATTTCGATATAAGCTAGATAATGGATAATCTTTTGTATTCTTTTAGTATAATGGTTATGTATGAAAGTACGGTAGAAAGGTAAGTTTGGATACAAGAAGTATGGTTTGAAGTGTGAGATTGGACTTCAACTTTTGAAGTGCAAGTTAGATAACGACTTTTCGATTTTTTTTTTTGAGCTGGCTAATTATGTAAGGAAGGAAGGAAAATTGTGGGTTAAAGAATCAGATTGGACTCCCAACTTTTTGATAATGGACAATCTTTTGATTTTTTTAAGTTCAATGGTTTTATATGAAAAGATGGAAGAAAGATAAGTTCGGATACAAGAATTTTGGTTTAAAGTTTAAGATTGGACTTCAAATTTTGATAGATGATTTTTTTTGCCATAATTTGGATAAAAAATAACGTTTGAGGTTGTATAGTCTATTAAGGTTTAATTTGGACAAGTGAATAAAGTATTATAATGATGAAATAAGGTACTTTTTAGAACGGTCTATTGGTTTCTTTGAAGAATTCAACGTGATGATGAATAAATTATTATGATGACGAAATAAGGTGCTTTCTTAAAACGGTCTATAAGATTTCAAGAAGAATTAAATGAGATGATATGATATGCTTATTTAAGGAGGGTAAAGATCCCATTAGTGTGGTAAATAGAAGAATATATGTTCGAATAGACAATTTGGAAAGCGAAGAATTGTTACAAATTTTGTTTGCCGCCTTGTCTATTTGCATGTCGGCTATCCCACCTGGGACCTAACTTCACCAAACAAACCAACCATGACAAATCTCCACCGCACATGTTGAACCCAAAAAAAAAAATAAAGAAGAAAAGATATATTTAATATTCTTAATAGATTGTCATCACATTTTGGTTTTAACTGCTTTAGCTGTTTTAGCCTGCACATTGAGGTATCTGTGTTCTTATAATCAAACACTTGAGGAGATGTTCATTCCCTTTATTTGTCTGTTTACTTCAGAAAAATCCAAACATCGTTCCCTCCCTTTTAACATTTGCACTAAATGATGCTGTAACTTACGACAGGGCCAGACTAAAATTCTTCCTCTCTTTGAATTTGCATACTGTGCTTGATTTTACTGCATTCAATTTTTGTAGGCTACTGAAACTGGAGGGCCATATGGATCCATCAATGATGATTCTCGAACAGTTTTCAAGTATGGTATTACATTATTAGTTTTGAATTACTAAACTTCTACGTTTTTTAGTTCCAAAATTATTTTCAGCCATCATAGGGTACTGTTGAAGTAGTTCGTAGGTAACCAAAAGCATGCAATCAATCTGATCTTGTCAGGAGTTATTAGAGTGAATAAGCTATTCAGAAAGCATGTTTATTACCAACAGAAGATTGTGCTAACTCCATTGAAAGGGCATGTTTAAGTCATCACCATACGTTAGATTACTTAATTGCAAATAAAGTTGGCTCTTTTATCTTCCTTCTTACATTGCTAGAATAAAGTTGGATCAGTTGGTAAGTGTTAAAAGAAAAGATGTAGATGGCTCTTTTATTAAACTTTTGATATATTGTTGAATATTTTAAAGATTGTTTCGAAGAATATTCAAGATAATATGGTTTTTGTCGCATCCAAATGGTAGGAAGAGATGGTAGTGGAAGCCAACAGCAACTATAGGGACTTCGCTGCCGAGATGAGGCTCGAGGTAGGGGCTTACTGTTTTCAGCTTGCTGTTTAGATCTATCAATTTGCATAAAATAAGAATGACCGAACCTAAAAGAATGATTGAACCTAAAGATGATTTTTTGAAAAATAGGATCCGACAATATATATTCACTATAAAAAAACTAAAATTCGAGCCAAATTATACATTTAATCCAAAAATCAAATGTGTTAAATGTCAGACGAAATATGTGATTCCCTGTTATAGTTTTGTAAATAAATATGAAGGGGGCTTTCATTGATAATGAAATAATGCCCTTTTCATGGTAAAAATCAACTCAAGGACAGGACAACATGAAAGTGCTTTAAAGAGAGCACTTATAAGCAGGCAATTCTTTTGAACTCAGCAATACAATCCAATGCCTTCTGAAATTCACTTTCCTCCAACGCTATTGTGAACCGGCAGTATCCAGGAATTCCTGTCCATGAGCTGCTGTTGATGCATAAGCCAGTGGCCTTCAGGATGGCTCCTCTGATGTTTGAATCATCGAGCTTCACTTCGTAATCAATGGCGTTCTTCAGTCTGGTTGTCTTGTTCGAATAAAGAGTTGGCTTGGCAACCGTAGAAAACCCGGCATGGGGCTCGAGCACATCCCATCCACAGCTCCCAAGTGTCTATATCATCAGGTGAGAGAATATTAGTAAAACAAAACATTTCTAGCATCTGGATCAAACCAATAAAATAATAGTCGGTAGAAATTTTATGGTTACCTCTGCCAGGCGTCTGGATCTACTTCTCAGGTCCTTAATCTGTCTGGTTACAGCACCCCACATCTCTTCTGACTTCTTCTCTCTTAGTCCTAGCAACTTCTTTATAGCATATTTCACTGTGCTATGAGGTCGACTTAATCCCGAGAAGCTATGAAACAAGTCGATCAAAGGCAGTTGGTTCAAAGCCAGAAAACCAAATTTGAGGGCACCCGTTAGCATCATCGATGATAGTTCTCCAAGCAGGCAAACAGAAAATGAACTGCTAGACAGATAAAGCCTAGATAGAACTCCTTCCAGATTCCAGCCGCCCCAACCCTCATAATCAAATTCCAACCCTGAAAATGAAGTATCAATGATGACCCTGGCCCCAAATTTAGCACAAGTAGTTAACAAATTCTCTATTTCTTTCTGGTCATAAACTCGACCAGTTGGGTTAATTGTTGGACCAGATATGTAAACCCACGGGGTTTTCACATTATTGAGTGCTTGATTAAGTGCACACTCTGTTAGCTTGAATCCCTCTTCGGATTTGGTAGGTATATTTACAATTTTTGCCTTTAAAAACTTGGCACTGTAAACGTAGCTTCCGTTCGTCCCAACCGGAAAACACAGTGTTCCTCCTTCTTGGATGCAACAGAGAACCATCTTGTTAAACAATGTTAACGAGCTATCAGCATACGTAAAGTCTGTACCAAATGGGAACCCATAAGTGGTTTTGACAAATTGCTTGATGCTAGTGGTGATATCTATTTCTGACTCTGACATGTTCTGTCTTGAAAAACTTTCAAAGATTGCAGCTTTGACTGGAAATGGAGTAGGCAGGAAGCTCTGATCAACATCCATGTGAATCAGGTATGAATTTTCAATCTGGTCAATTGATAGCTCAGCATTATTCAGAACTGAGATGGCAGAACTGGAAAACCCAATTATGTCTGTTGAGCTTGCACTTTTGTCACATTTTCTCTGAGGACATGAATCAATTAACAGTTACAACTACGGGTAAACAAGTACATTAAAAAACATGTTTTATGTACCTGTGCTGGTAGATGTCGATCAGGTAGCTGAAAAGAAAGTAGCTCATGGAAAAGACATCCATAATAATATTGACTTATGGGTGCAGTGTTCCCTTCTAACAATTCTACGGTCTTGGACAAGGCCTTAAGAATTGGTTCTTCTTCAGAAATAACAAAAGCCACTTCTAAATCCATATATACCTGGAAAGTGTACTGAGTAGTCATTTAGTGATAATTTAATTGAAGGAAGCAACTGATACCTGGAAGTTGGAAAATGGATTACCTGATTTTTCACTAGGCCGCACAAAATAGCTGCATGAGAAGGAAGAGAGTTTCCTGCTAAATACTTTAGGACGCCATTGGAACTAGGAAGACTGGATAGCTCAAAGTGGTCTGATATGTCTATGAAGAGACGGGAACCTATTTCTCTTGTAACATCCAAAAGCTGCACAAAAGCTGAGCTAGTAACAGCTTCAAAATGAGCCATCCCAGTCACCACTACCTGAGGTTTCAGCTTCTTTATCAGCTCGATCATTAAATCGGACTGGCTCGGAGCCTCAATAACTGTACGTACATCGTCTGCGGCACGACCAATTCCAGTCTGCAAAAGAAGAATACAGATGATCCCAGGCTTGCCCCATTGCTAGTGCTGAATTGTGCATGAAGATGCACTTACCTCAATATTGAGAGAAGTTAACCATTGTCTTGGTAGGTGTCGAGTTAGATGCTCATCCACAATGGCAAGTCGAGGGGAGAACAAGCGCAGAGCATTCTCAATGGCCACAGCCCTCGAAGGAAAAACCACAACATTCTTCACAAGAAATGGCAACAGACAGACCACTTAGAGATGCAGCCTTGTGTATGCTTCACATAATAAAAAAAAGACCACAACACTCATAGTGTTTGTGTGCATACATAGATTGATGAGCAGCCATGAAGCACGAACACTTCATTTTAGGCCAAGTGTTCATGACATAGCGTTGGACACAAATACGTCCAGACACGTGGCCAACACGCTATTTTACACGTCACAGTTGGGAAAAATTTTTAAACGAAAATTACCTGAATCATTTAAATTTAGAAAAAGAGAAAAAAAAAATGACAAAAAGTGATGAAACAACTTTAAGTAGTAGGTCATCTTACACCAGAATTGAGTGGTATGTGGTGGTATTTTTTCATAAATCCAGCAATAAGGCTTCGGAAACGCAAGCTTCCAGCCGGTGGCTCATATGGAAAACATGCAGTTTCTTTAAATATGCTGCCAAGATAAGCTAGGAATGAAATCTTCTCATCAGCAACAGAATCATCTTGAAATGATAAATCTAATGAACCGCTGATTTCTTGGAATCCACTCTTAAGAAAATCAAATATTGTCTTAACCTGTCGGTTCATTGCAATTTTATATGAATATTCATTCCATATCCTCGTATATTTTACCTTAAAAACAGCTTTATTAGGGTACGGAAGAACCTGATTTGGCTGACGGAGTTGGCAGCTATAAACTGATAGTGCATGAGAGATGCGACCACCAGCCTTCCCATAAGCCCATGCTGTGCGAGCACAAATAGGCTGATCCCCTGAAAGTCCCATAAAAAACTCAAAACGATGCGGACTGTTCTTCTCAATTTCAACTAAGGCAGAGATGTCAGTATCAGCCGCCTGTAAATAAAACATATGAATATGAACTCTACATGTATGAACAAATTCATCTCTGATGAGAAAAAAACGTTTTTTGCCTGAAGAATTTTGGTCTGCCAAAGCTTGGTAATGCGGAAGCCACGCCGTTCGAATAAGCGCTTGCAAACGCCTTGTCCGGGACGTCCTCCCATATTGAAGATCATAATCCCTGTAGATTTGATAACACTTATTCCTTCCTCTACTGCCCTGGCTATCAGACCTAATCCAAATTGATCTTCAACAAAACCCTGCATTAAAGGATAGTAGTACAAGGACTCGTTACTCCAAAATGTTAGGAATCACGATTTTCCACAATGATATAATATTGTCCACTTTTGAGCATAAACTCTTATAGCTTTGCTTTTAGTTTCTCCAAAAGATCTCGTACCAATAAAGACGTATTCTTTACTTATAAACCCACGATCAACCTTTTAATTAGCCAATATGGGATTTCTCACCCAACAAATCCTCAACAGAGAACAGGTTAAACACGGTGAATATAAGCCATAGAGATCCATAAAAAATGTGTATAAGTGACTTACTTGAAGTGCACAATAGTTACTCAACGAGTGCAAAAATTCCTCACTAGCGTTTTCGGTAATCATCTTGGACATAGCATCTGGATTTGGGTTAAGAATCTGCAAGGGGCAACCAATTGTGAGTTCCACAATTTATGTTAAGATTTTGTTTTGCTTATAGTTCCATAATCAATTCTGTAAGCTTCCGGTGTACCTGAGGAATGCATCCAACAATTCGCTCAAGTTGGATGTCATTATCTCTACAGTAGGCCAGCAGATCAGATTCATGGAACTCCACTCTATCCAAAAGGGTTCTGTTCTCACTGTCAAGTATGGGTTGGCCCTTCTCATCCAGAGCGTTTAAATATAGATTAATCCAAGAGATCTTGACTGCTCGAGGGTTGATATCAAGGCCGTAGACCTACAAAACTTAACTTCAGAAGTATTTATAGGCTTATAGCTGTTAAGGTAAAGTTTTTGAAGACAAACCTTGAAAGGTAACCATTTGTCAGCAATGGCGATGGATATCCACCCATTTCCACAACCAAGCTCAGCCACTGTTTGATCCTTAAATATGGAATCTGGGGGCCTATTCAATCCCTCGAAAAAAGTAAATGACCAATCTTCCGGGATGAAAATGCTGGGGATTACCATTGAACTCAGTTTCTTCCTCCCGTGGTAACCTGATGAAAAGGTTTCAAGGCAGAAATTTAAAAGAAAATAAATATATAAAAATACAACATCACTATATATGCTAGCGGGAATAATCAGTGTTTCTTGACAATTGTACTGACCATACACTGGCTACCGTGAGGGAAGTCCTTTTTCAGGTATAATTTGCAGGCCATAAGATTTCGGTGTTGGATTGTAAGATCTCATATCGATTGAAGAGAGAAACGAGTGCTAAGATCTCATATCGATTGAAAAGAGAAACGAGTGCTAGCAAGGACGCTGAGGCCGAAGGGAGGTGAATTGCGAGATCCTACATCGATTGTAGAGGAAAACTAAGCATTCTTTTATAAGGGCATGTAAACCTCTCCCTAGCATACGCGTTTTAAATATCTCGAGGGGAAGCGTGAAAGGAAAAGTTCAAAGAGGACAATATCCGTTAGCAGTGACCTTAGGCTACAAATGGTATTAGAATCAAACACCAGTCGTTAAATCACTAGACAGTATGTCAGCGATACTAGACGGTAAGCCTCGAGGACACTAAGCCCCAAAGACGCTAAGTCCCGAATGGGATTGGCCACTACAAATGATGTGTCCGAAGACGCTAAGCCCCGAAGGGGAGTAGACACTAGACGGTATGTCAGCGATAACGTTAGGCCTCGAAGGGGAGTTGATTATGAGATCCTATATCGACGGGAGAGGAACGAGTGCCAGCGAGTACGCTAAGACCCGAAGGGAGTGGATTGTGAGATCCCACATCGACGGGAGAGGTGAACGAAACATTCTTTATAAGATGTGAAAATCTCTCTCTAACAAACCGTTTTAAAAACTTTGAAGAGAAGTCCAAAAAAGACCATATTTAGTAGCGATGATTTTGGACTCCACTTAATTCATAAAATCAAACACAGTGCAAGACACAGGAAGCATTCCGATTCTCTCATTGCCGCAATGACAAAGCGAGCTCGTGCAACTATAACTTTTAGAAAAACGAATTAGAAAACAGCGTTTCAAATTTAACTACGCACAAACATAAAGTTCAAAACAACAAAAAAAAAACAAAAGAAGTAGGACCTTCGTATTGGTCGAGAAAGATATCATCGATCCGGAAATGGTAAGAGGAGAAGCACCGATCGCAATCATCCTTGGTAGGAAAACGCCTCTTAATATCGTCGAGAAACACACGAGCTCTAACTCTGGTAGCCGGATCATCAAGTCGGTCGAGGACGGAACGGAGAGCGGCGTAAGCGGCGTCGCCAGACTGCTGACAGCGACTCAAAAACTCATCAATGGAGTCCAAAACCGACGCCATTGGAGGGAGGAAGAAGCAGAGAGTGAGAGAGAGAGAGAGAGAGAATGGCGGGTGAAGGTTTAAGCTTAACGTGAAAACGAAGGAAACGAAAGAATATTAAAATTTTGATTTTTTAAAGAATTAATCTATTTGTCATGGAAATTTAAATTTTTATATAAAATTTAATGAATTTTTTCCTCTACTTATTATTATTTTTATTTTGGTCGCCTCCAAAAATAATTGGGGGGAGGGCGGGTACATTGTGGCTCTCCCCCAGTTTATGACACGTGGCCAGCCGAATAAATACTTTTTTAAATTTTCAGATTGCACACGTGGATTCTTTTCTAATTTATGTTTTTTTCTTTTTTTTTTGTTATTCATTTTTGTAAGATTCTGTGGTTAACGAACATATTTCTTTTTCATATCTTTTTGTTTTACCTTTCTATTTTATCTTTTTTCTTCTTTATTTCCATTTAAAATTTTCGCGTTGCTCGTCCTTTCTGTTTTTTTTTTTCTGATTGTGAAGCCTTATTTAAATATATATTACCTTTATAAAAAGCCCTTTTAGAAAGTAATGTTATTTATAAATTACGCAGAGTATCGAAACATTTGTGCGAATATTTTTTTAAGAAAAAAAAATAAAAGGAGAATTTGAACTTTTGACTTTAATAAAAAAGAATATATACAAATTATTGTTAAATTACGTTGACATTAACAATTAGACTATATTTGTAAAAATTAAATGATAATGATTATTCTTATGTAATGTGAAATAATTATGAAAAACAAGTGAGTTCAATTCAATTCAATTCTGCCAACAAATTTTTTTTTCCGAATGCTGCATTCCTAGATTGAGGATTATTGGGTCCTAGATTGAGGATTATTGGGTCCTAGATTGAGGATTATTGGGAGTAAGTCCCACGTTAGTTAATTTAGTGAAAGATCATGAGTTTATAAGTAAGGAATACTATCTCTATTGGTACGAGACATTTGGGGAGAATCCCAAAACAAAACATGAACACTTATGATTAAAGTAGACAATATCGTACCACTACGTGGAGAATTGTGATTTCTAACCTCCTCAAAGTACAATAAATAATAATAATAATTTTCAAAAGAAACTTTTAAAAGCACTTTCAGAAAATGGCCCGAAAAAAATCTAAGATAGAAGATTTGCTCTTCCATAAGGACAAATTTTCGTCTTGTTCTTGTCGGTTGTCTTAAAGAGTTCACATGGTATTGCATGAAAAAAAAAAATGTACCTTTTTTATCCAATAAAATAAATATTTAGAAATAAAATATTTTCATTCCCAAAAAAATCATTTCATTTGTTTAGTTCAAAAGGTCAAAACTAACATTTTCCCCCAAAAAAAGGAAAGGCCGATTCTGTGAAGATATGGAGATCTTGAGTTCTAAAATTTCCTTATCTAACTAAAACGACAGAGTATACATCTTTTTAAGATAGTGATAGGCTGAGATTCTTTACAAATAAGTCAAAAAGAATTCTATTAGGAACCAAAGCTTCCCCCTCCAATTAGGCACACTCCAATGTTCATTACTGACCATTTATTGGCTCGATTAATGAGAACTTTACATCAACTACTTCCCCCTCCATCCCTATGCCCATAAAGAATTGTACCAAAAAACACAAAATTACAGAGACTAAACCATTACCAGAGTCATGTTTATCGTCTAGATCGACTCCCGAAATTCCTCGACTTCCCACACTCCCCAAACAGTGAAAATCTTCCACTGCGTGACCGAGCATGGTTGGTTCTTACCTGCTCATTCACCAACAGAAAAAACAGACATCAATGACTCCCAACTCAACATCAAGTTAAATGTTCATAAAATGGAAAAGTGAACTGTGGAAATTACCTTTCCCCTTTTATGGGATTTGCTGTTGTTCCAGCAGAACAATCCACTACAACCACCAGCCGCTGAGCT